TGTTCTGTATTACCTTATATTATTCAGTTTTACACATTTTTTAGAAAGGGAAGAAAACACACTTGGCTATCATTGCAGCACAAACTTTTGTATTGCAATAATGTAAAATCAAGAAACTTATTTTCGTTTTCACCATATTCACCTCAAAATTTAAAACATTTCACGTTGGTTGGAATACTTCACTACTAAAATTTACACCCACAAAACATGACTCCATTTTTTAACATTACCAATGAGTATTTCTTTTCATTGGTTGCTCGTTGGCACTTAGCGATAGCTATATCTAGTTCTAAGCGTTAATAACAGCGAGGATCGCTTCCATATTCGTTTCTTCAACTGCAGTGCACATGGATGATTTTCATATATTTACAGTCATATTTTTTAAGTTGCTGCAAGCGTTAAATTAGGAAAAAATTCTAAGTGCAACTAAGGAACTGAAACCTGTAATAAGCGATGTCGAAAGCGTCATGCCAGTAAATACTGCGCGAAAAATTACAATTTTGTACTTGTCACGCGCTCGTGACAAGACGAAAAAAAACATCCTTTATTCATCACCGCGTAAAACTTCGCCACCTTTCTTAATCTAGATAAACAATTTTCTCATAATCATTTAGATTCCACTTTACATTTCATCTCTGTGACACCTGTCAATTGTTTCTAAGAGTTTTCAAACAATTCAATTCAAGTCATTGAAATTATTTTTATTTGTATTGGTTCTTTGCACTTTCCGAAGAGTGAATATTCTGGAGCCAATTTTTTAATTCTATTTTTAAAAGGTTAATTATCACAGTGAATTTAAAGGAAGCAGCAATAATATTCAGACTTCGGCCATAAGAAAAAAATTTTCCTATAGATTTTGAGAATACGGAGATAATCCGAAACTTCGTGAATCCCTAGATAAAATGAATTTCTAACTGACACTTCGAGCCATATCACCAAATTACGATAATTACGAAGTGGTGATGAAATGCATAATAGTATTATTTCCCTGATTCAAATGGTTCAAACAATGTGACACGGAGGCTGAATAGAGCAACAGCGGGAGACCAAGAAGTGTCTGAAACTGACCAATCAAAATTTACCACCTTAAGTCTTAAAAATATTTTTAATTCCTTCAGTAAAAATCGTTGTCTCTGGCAAAGGTAAATATCACGTGGAATTTAAGGAAGCAGGAATTGTGTCACAATTGCGCGATTTGGGCGGTTTGCAGTACTGAGAAATCTCACTTTTTTGTTCGTTTTCGTGGTTTTCTAGAAACTGAGGCAATAATTCTCGGACTTCAGCCATAAGAAAAAAACTGGCCTTTAGAGTTTGAGAATAGGGAATTAATCCGAAACTTTGTGAATTACAAGATGAAATGAATTTCTAACTGACACTTCGAGCTTCATCGCCAAATGGATAATTACGAAGTGGTTATGGTGAAGTAAAAGGTGCAGTAGTAATTGTCTGTTTTAGTGCATGGAGTTGCGTGAACTGAAAGCGTGTTTTCAGAAGCTTCGTTTCATTTTATAACACGTCAATCAAGTTAGCTGTTAGGACTAGTAAGGCACCGATCAATTCGAGGCTTCTATATTCCCCCAACCCCCATTTATGAGGTGCAACCAAAATTTTATGGTGCCAGAGAATATAATCAATTCTAGAGGAAGTTATTGGCAGCGGTGTTTTGTAGGAGCTTTTCGGTGCAACTAAAGTTTTATCATGCAACAGAGAATAATTAATTCTAGAGGATTGAACAACAAACGTGACGTGCATTTATGACAGATTGTCCGCTCGATCTCTTAAATTTGGTTCCAACTTCCTTTGGTTTTCGGCTTGGACTAAAAAACATTGTTTTAAGTGTAGGGCTCTATAATCGTTAAGACGAAAGAAATATGTTTGGAGTGGCGCACAAATTACCTGTGGTTATAAATACAGACATGTCATGGGTGTATCCGAGCTTGCCTCGTTCGTCTTTGAAAAATACGTGTTACGCGTAGAAACCTCAGTCTGGAATACTCGAGCACCTCTTTGCTTCGTTGTAGCCGCTAATTTCCAGCATCATAAAAAACGTGAAGGTTATTTGCCTAGTTTTCGTCGAAAATTCCGTAAGGTGTGTAAAACTTAATGCAAAAATACGGAAACTTAATTTTTAAATCCACATGTAATGGGTGTATCCGACCTTGCCTCGTTCGTCTTTGAAAAATACGTGTTACGCGTAGAAACCTCAGTCTGGAATACTCGAGCACCTCTTTGCTTCGTTGTAGCCGCTAATTTCCAGCATCATAAAAAACGTGAAGGTTATTTGCCTAGTTTTCGTCGAAAATTCCGTAAGGTGTGTAAAACTTAATGCAAAAATACGGAAACTTAATTTTTAAATCCACATGTAATGGGTGTATCCGACCTTGCCTCGTTCGTCTTTGAAAAATACGTGTTACGCGTAGAAACCTCAGTCTGGAATACTCGAGCACCTCTTTGCTTCGTTGTAGCCGCTAATTTCCAGCATCATAAAAAACGTGAAGGTTATTTGCCTAGTTTTCGTCGAAAATTCCGTAAGGTGTGTAAAACTTAATGCAAAAATACGGAAACTTAATTTTTAAATCCTTATTCTGTAGGTGTATCTGGCCTTGCCTCGTTCGTCTTTGCGGCGAAAGTACTTACCTTGTTGTCGCTTCCGTGAGGAAAAAAAGCGCACAAGCTGACCAGAAAATTTTCTTGCTTTGTTCTTTGCACAATTCCACCAGCGAGACAGACACAAACCCATCTTAGAATGCCAAAACCTGTGAGCACTTAAGATTCACAGTCAATACACCAAGTGAATATAATGAAGGTCACGTGGGGCAGTCCCTATTATCAGGGAGTTAACAATACATAACTGACAAGCCAAGTGAATGCAAATGAAGGTCACGTGTGGATAAATGACACGTGTGAGAGGTCTTAGCTAAATCTAAAACTGCCAAAACATGTTAAACTAATAATATCGGTCTTACCAATAGTTGTAATAATAATAGTAACATTTAGCACTCCATGTTTGTTGGTTTTTCGAATTTTTCACCTAGATTCCACGTGCATGATATGAGACCTTTTTCTTTAGACTATTTCAAGCTCCCATGTGATTTCCATTTTTATACCAAATTGAAACATTCTCTTCTCCGGAACGTCGTTTTGACTAAAGCTGAGTCGAATGTCACTTTCATCAATTTTCTGGTCCAGATCCCAAGTTTGTGTTCAGCCTTTGTTCACTATGACGGTCTTTTCTCCTCTTATTTGCAGTCCCTATTATCAAGGGTGGATTGAACTGTGCAAGGCACTGAATTTTCATGATCTCGAGATGTTGTTGTTATCCTATTGAAGTGGCCTAAATCTTTAGTTTCAGAGAGTTGCGAAAACTTGGGAAAAAAGTACTTTATTCAAACCCTTCGGAAGACATCGTACCATGCAAGGGTTGGCTGATGGCTTGAGACTATTAATATCTATAATTTGTGGAGAAAATGCTAACAGTAGTCATATTTTAGGTCTTCTCTGGCTGTGATGAAAATTTCCAACGACCTTCTTGATCCGCTGGAAGTGAATCTGTTAAACGAGCCCGATTGAAATAAAAATAAAAGAATCCAGCGAGCAAGCTAATAGACATCAACCTACTCTGAAACTTACAGTGAAATTGATGGAGGAGCCAAATTAAATTGAGAGGCGGAGATTGTGAAAACTAGTTTCTGAGGCAACCCAAGCTAAAAATAGGCACCGAGACTCACTGTTCATTGCTGAAAAGACTACAACCGCCTGAATCGTCTGATCTAATTACTTTAGTAGTCCTAAGTACTCACGGTATGGTACTTCCTAAGTACACGGTATGTAAGCATGCGTAGGATACGAACCGATAGACCTTAGAGAATTAAACTTCTCGACTGAAACATTAAAAAACACCCAAAAACTTGTGCGAGATTCATGGAAATAGGAAAAAATAGCTTCATACTCCCCGATCAAAAGCCCAATTTTCGAGTACTTTGGCGTATATACAAAGCCAGGCCAGAAGACAAACCCAAACATGACCGCCGATGAACGTTTTTATTGTCTTAGAACAAGGGAGAAATATTTCCTCTTGTTGAGAATCAAGACTTTTAAAAGTCAAGGACAAACTACTTAGTGGTACAAACTCAGGGTCGCGCTCCTTTCTGGCCCTAGTATCGTAACAAAGTACCTAACACGGCCACTTCAGATAGAACATTCAAGTTCCAAAAATCGGACAACTAGAACATATAGAGAAAGAAAGACGGAAATCAGGAAACCCAACTTAACCCTTGGCTAAAATTACAATGGTAACCTTGACATGAAAAACTTCTAACCATTATTAAAAAAAAAGAACATTTCAAAACAGTTTCGACTACTCAGGAAGGGTAATTAAAATTCGAATCCGTAGTACTCTAGCAGGCGTTGTTTGGTCTCTGACGAAAGGCTAACGCTCAAACACAAACTCATATAAACACTGCAGGGATCATATCTTGCCTTTAATTTTGTAATATCTCCACAGAGCGTGTCCTTTGCGGTTAGAAGTGTTTCGACTTTTTGTTATTCAAATTTTGTTATTTACTTTACGATGAATAATTTTGTTTAGCAAGACAGCGGGAAGGTTACTACCACCGCTTGAAATAGAGAAAAGGAAGGAAGTTAGGAAGTTTATGTGGCTCGACGTAAGCTGGGAAAACGTCTAATTTGATGTTCGAAGCGCCTAAATTTTTGACGCACCTCCTCTAAATTTTCCTCTGATTGAACATCCATTAAGGCCTTCAAATTATTCTGTTTTAAACGATGTCTCAACAATCGTATCTTATGTGATCGAATCTGCCCACATCTCTTCACTTCAAAGTTAATATGATGTAATTACTTACACTGTTCATACGTTTTAATGGCATGTTCCTCGTGTTTCCATCCATGTTTTATTGTTTTGTTATTTAGTTTAAACAAGTGTGGATAACAAATTGAATAATTTAAAGAGAGAGAAGGTTGTGCTAGATTAGTATGGTAGACTAAAAACTAAACTAACTGACTAAAAACTCCTGGCCCCTTCTCATGAGTTCTTGTGTCCTGCTCGCCATTTCAATTTCTTTCTCGGAGATGTTTACCTCAACTTCTGAACAGTTGCTTAAAAGCTCAGGATAATTTAGATCCAGATTGTTAGGCTCGTAAAGATCTGTTATTATTGGTATGCTGCGACTTTTTAAAATAAAATGAACAGCGTATGGATCGATTAAACTCAGCAATGCAGCCTTTTCCTCGCACTGGTTCAGCCTCTTAAAAAAATCTAACATTTCCTCCGCTGAAATGGCAGGGTTTGTGTTCTATGCTCCTCTGTGAAAAGTTTGAGCTTTATTAGAGTTTCCACCTTCACCATCGAAAGACTCAATCTTACTGTCAAGATTTTCTTTCAGCATTTTAGCAGAGGCGAAATCAATATCTATAGCTATTGCTCACGTAACCTTGCTGACCTAAGTTGGAAGGAGCTACATACACTTACCTTGCATACAGGTCAATTTTCCGTTTATTCGTGTCCAACATTGGATGTAAAATAGAGCGCTGGCGATGTGAGAACATGAGTCAGCCAAACCAGCCTTACAGCTTAAACAATCTGTAGAATAAATTTTCCCATCTTGTCCAGTTATGATCTACACGTCCACAAGAGAGTCATTCATTCGTTGAGACTGACGAACTTTGGCTAAAACTACGTGTTTTTCTGAGACTAATTTTGATCATTGATCATTTGTATAATAACTGGTTTCCAGAACCAAGAAACTAAACAAGTCAGACTGCTCTATCGGAGATGAACACTCTGGATCAAGTTCGTCATCTGGGATGCTGACTGGATCAATGCTGATTTTCTCCATGTTTTGGAGATAACGCTGCTTTATATGGCTCTGAAGAGACGTAGCATATTTCGATAGTTCTGGTACAGACATCTATTGTTGTTTAGAAGCGAATTTCGACACTGGAATTACATTCTTGAGCGTATCCTTTACATATATTTCACACTTCAGAGGAGCACAGAAGGAGCACAGGACAATATATTTACCTATGTCACAGATGTCAAGTGAAAGACAGCGTATTTTATAAAATACTCAGACTTCGGCGATGGGAAAAAACTGGCCTTTAGATTTTTAGAATACGGAGGTCATCCGGAACTTTGTGAATCCCAACTTCAAAAGCTTCGTTTCATTTTTCAACACGTCATTCATATTAGCTGTTACGTGTCGATCTGTTCATAGTGTGGTCCGCCTGTGGGGTCATAATTTGATGCTGTCAACACGATATCTGAAGGATTTGGAAATTCCCCAGAAGCAAATTTTAAATAATAATGATCCTTGAACACATTCAAGGGCAGTTTATTTGTGACTACTAGTACATTTCTTACTGTTTCATTTTGATAAGACGAACAACAAAATGTATAGGTGTTTAATCATTTCCTTATAGACTTTAAATTTTCCTTCGGGTAATTAATTTTTTCAATGGGCGGAACACATCCATTTTCTCATTCTTCTTTCTCATTTCTTCGGCCAGCTGTTCAGTCATGTCTACAAGTTCGCCAGGTGCACTTGCCAAGGTGGCGCTTTTTTTTACTCCTTCTCGCAATTTCCTTCCTCTATTCCCTTGGGCCTGGCAAACAAGATGTTAACAATGCATCTGAGATAAGTCAAAACAACTCCCATATACCCTACAAACATGAACGGGTAAAAAAAAATTATCATTGTGGTAGAGAGCAGTTTTGCTGTTCCCCTACAAAAAGCCACCATTCCAAATTCGTGTTTAACCAGGAACAACGGACAATTTAATACAGCTGGTTTCCCCATAACCAGGTACTATCTAATTTTAAATTTTGAGAAATGAAAAATCAATCCATGACCATAATTACTTCACTTACTGAGTAGGGCTTAGGATGTTGGCCATTCCTACCAGCTGCTCCAGGAGCTGGTTTGATAGGCATTGCATCATGTTGAATGAGAGAGGTGTTACTGCCAGTTCTTTCCTTGCCTGGGAAAGGAAAAATCGTGAAAAAGAAAAATGTTAAAAACATAGGCATGCTACACATGCGAGAGTTTCTTTTAGGGCGGATTGGACAAGGAAAGACAATAAATTTCGTGATCTTGATATGTTGACCTCTTATAATTAACCGAGATTAAAAATGACTTTAGATCTTTCCTATACACGGCCACCCGAAATTTCGACGTCATGATTTACCCACGCACAAGCTAATGATCTGCGACCATCGTTGTGGAGATGCTTCTGTAACATTTATAATGGTAACTGAACCAGTGAAGGCAAATTCAAGAAATACATCGTCTTTTCTCCTTGCCACTAGCATTTAAGTAAGAAAGAAATTCTGAGTGCAAATGAGGAACTACCTATAATGACTTGAGCGATGTTGAAAGCGTCGTGTCAGTAAATACTGCGCGAAAAATGAAAAAAATTTTGAAATCGTCCCGCGCTCGTGATAAGACGAAAAATACATCCTTTATTTCATTCACCAACTTTCTAGTTAGAAAAACAATTGTTTCTGTAATCATTTAGATTCAAACTTAACATTTAATTCCTGTGGAATCTTTTAATTGTTGTCTAAGATCTTTCAAACAATTTCAATTAATACAGTAAAATATTTCTTTTTCGATTGCCACCATTCCTTTTGTGCATTGACATATTCCTAAAGAACATGCTTTTTGCATATTCGTTTTAAAGATAATTCCTTCCAGATTTGAATCTTATACATCATCTAATTACTTGTTTAAAATTTGGTTAGTTCTGTTATTCAAGGTACTTGTACTAATTATTAAGATTTGTGTTCTTCGGTTATAAGAGTAGAGCCAAGTTTAGTTTTCTATTGGATCGAATGATCTCCACTTGCTTCGCTTTAAGAACAAGTCTCTGTAAGAATCAAACATCTTGGGAAATGAAAATTTTCAACCCCCCTTCAAATTTTGTATGCAGTTAGGCGCTCAGGGGGGATACACAAAAATGCTCTTTTTAAAGGGCGCAGCACTCTTGTTGCCATGGTAACAACGGCTGCTTGTTCGAGGCCTGGGGCCTCATTTTCATACAAAAACGTCGCAAAAAAAGAGTGAAATGTTTATTTCTCTATCTCAAGCTAAATAAAACATTACAAATTGGCACTCCTACCATACATAGTAACATCATTCATCTTCACATTGATACAGTCAATTTTCCCTGGGAGTGAAGTTGAACACACTAACAGATTATTCATTTCGGTACAGTTCCGGTCATCTTTGTTGTCGGGTAAAACAGGGAAAACATTTATCTGAATTTCTCCAAAAGTACACCGATTCTGGAACTGAAACTAACCACATAGCTGGTTATAATATTCTAGTTTTTGAAAATGTTAAAATCTCTGCGGGCCTGCCTCTATTTTCCATAGGAGCAATTCGCGAACGAAGCTCAAAAATCAGATATTGCATAATTTGGCGATGTTTACATCGAATGTTCTCGACAACAAATGTTTCAGAAAAATGAAACATGTAAAGCTTTGAAAGAATGTCATCTTATGAGCAATATCCCGAAGAGAAATCTCGTCTCTGCTTGTCATCTTTTAAAAAAAATAGGTCCGCAATGCGTACTTGTGTGGGATTTCATTGACAAAGTGTTTGTAAGGGGTTTTTGAGCGGAAGCAAACCTGTCGCTCACCGTGAGTCAACTGTACTACAGGGGTGATATTAGGCCTGGAATCAACAGCCTGAATAGTAATCTTTGTGCGTGAATTATTTGAACAAATACAGATTCACAGGAGAGATCTGGGGTATTAACTTATACTTTTATCAAGCAATATGCCTTTCCCTCCCTCCCTGGAAGCTTTTTGGCGTGTTTTTGAACGTTTGGTAATCGTCTTCAACAAATAAATTACCTCTTGGTGGCTTAGGCTATTTATTTGTTTATACGGCAATACTGCAAATACTTGGAGCAGTAAATATTTTCGTAACAGTCATTGAAAAAAAATGAAAAAATTTCTGCTACTACTGTTTAACTCGTGGATATACGATAGCGGAGAAACGAGTTCTTTTGGGCGCTCTGCGATATGCAAATTAGCGTGGACTCTTCGTAATTAGTCGGCTTCGAACTCGAGATCTATCCTTCCGAAGAAGTAAGTCCAAAGTCCTGGCGCTATTATGATTGCACTGATCGTTGCGATATTTATTGTCTTTACAGGCCTGTTTCGACATTTACTATATTGAAATGGACTTCAAATGTTTCAGACTAGTGCTATGATCAACTTAAAAACCAAATTTGAAGGGTCTTCGAATCGTCCATGCGCTAAACATAACGAGGACCAGCGAGAATCACGAAGACTTTGTGAGTGACAGCAAGCTGTTGACACAGAAAATTCCACGGAAACATGTACCCATGACATTAAAGAAAATGGTAATTTGCAGCATTATTTCTTTCTACGCCAATTTGGGTCTTCCCGTTGTAATCGTTTCGTTTTGTTATTCTTCTATGCAAACGTGACTGTTTTGATGGTAAGAATGAAAGATGATCGCTTTCAAGAAGTCGTTGCCGAGCACGTGACTATAATCTGGCCGGTGTTGTTTTGATCACTTGACGATCTTTTTCGCTGAAAATACAGGACGACTTCCTATTTCAAGGAATGCTTTTCCAATTAATTTCTATCGCATCGGTGTAAAAAAGTACAGGTATATGGGTGTTCTGAAAAACAAAAGGGAAATTCAAAACTACGAGAAATTGCGAGTAATCGGCCTCTTCTGCTACACGCAGGTTTTTTTTGGTGTAACATGCGTGTGTTTCCCATAAGTTACAAGCACTTTACGCACGTGGGAATGCTGCAATCACGAATTTTAGATTACGTGAAAGTCACGCATGTAGTTGTTTGCTCACTTCACTAATATGTTTGTTTGCTTGTTGTTGTTTTTTTTTTTTGTATCCTGGAGTATTTCAGGAGGGGTTGCGGCAGACTTAACTGTGGAATAATTGTTTAATGCAGGGTTGTCAATAAAGGTTGCAGTTAGAAATTAGCCAAGATGCTAAAGGAGCTGCCTTGAAATTTCAAGACTGTGTGTTATGTAGTTTATTTTTGTCTTTTGTAAATGGTTGTTAAACTGGACAACTCTTAGAAAGATGACTTCAAACTTAATTTTAAAAGGCCTGTTCTGGTACCAAATGAATAAGCAGCATTTCCTTATTAATTGTTTTGCAAGATTCTTATTACAAATTCCTCTGAAAAAAGGGAAACAACTCTTTTCATAACTATTTACTGCTTTCTTTTGTTGCTTTCTTAACTTAAAAACAATGTACATCATGATAAAGTAATTTGTTAGAGGACACCGTGAAATGAGGCCTAAACAGCTTTATGATCTGTGAAATATGTTGCTAAAACATCTGCTTGTATATCAATGTTAGATATATTTGTATATATATGATCAATTACTGTGTTGTTGTCAGTTGTATAAGTTGATATGAACTGTTTGTAATGGTTACCCCTCACTAGTAAATTATACAAAGGTCTTCTGTCTGTTTCAACAAGCCAATTTATATTAAAGTCTCCAGTAATGTTATTGTTGTCTGGTGAAATGTTAATTAATACCTCAGTTATTGCTTCATAAAGTTGTCTTACGGGCACGTTTGGGGAGTGATATATCCCTATGATTATTCAATCCTAAAGACTTGCAAACTTAATTACTGTTATTTCAACACCATGTATATTGTGACAATAGGGGTATCCAGGTAAGTATGGGATTTTACTGTACACAGCTGTACCGCCATAAGACCTTGATCCATTGCTGGAATTAAGGTTATCATTATGGAAGAGAACATAACCAGCAATGTCATACATGTCATTATTATCTTGAGAATTAAATCTTGTTTCTGTGAAAATATTGATATCAGCACTTAGATAAATTAAGTCTTTACGTATATCTTCTATGTGTTTGTGAAGAGACCTTACATTAAGATGACACAGTTTAAGAAGGGAAAATGTTATGTCATGGAGAGGGGAGATGCAAAGCTTAAGTTTTGCAGTTGTTCTTAATCTCTCCATCTGGATTAACAGCAATCTTGCTTTCACACAAATCAGAAATATATAGGCCTTCTATAGCAGTCACTCTACTGAGTCCCACATAATGTATGTGTGGAATAGTATTTCTGGTACTAAAATCCACAACAATTCTACTGTCAGTATCACCTTGTGACCTGTGAATTGTTTTTGCTGCTGCGGGACGCAGTGGAAATTGTTTTCTAACAACTTGTGCTGTTCTGTTTCTACCTACTGCAACTGTGTAGTCACAGGGTTTACTGGGGTCCATGTGTGTTCAATTCCTTGTACATACAAATGTCTTTTTTCATTCCTTGTTTTCTGAAACATCTGAGTGGTCAAATTGTACCCATACAATACCAGATGGTTTGGTTTGTTGATGTAACTGAACTAGTTTAACAACATTTCCAGCACCATTTGTCATGCCATCTTCGGTTCGTACATTCATGACAAGGTGTGTTCTTTCACCCTCAGCAAGACAAAGGGTTGAGGCTAACTGTTTTGTTTTTCTTGGATCATTGGGTATTTGTCTTAGTATTTTGTTTCTTAGCTCTGGAGAGATAGCTCCAATAACACTATCTAGAGCATTTATTGTGAATTTGTTTCCTGTGGCTGCATTATGGGCCCTTTGATTAAATTCATCTACTTTAGCATTCTGTATAAATAAGTGAGGTGCATCTATTGGGTTGTTGATGTCTTCTTGTATAGCTCTCTTTAAGTTTTGCAATGTCAGCTACTGTGTGTTTACCTTTACGCAACCTATTAAGTAATTCCAAAAACAATTTGCTGTCTCTTTGACCCATGATTTACCTTCAAACATTTTAAAGTGTTTATGCCATAAACTGGGAGAAAGAACAGCATAAATCTACATTTTTGAGGTCTTTGATAATATAAGCATCCATAACAGATTCTAATTGGAATAAGTCACCAATAGCAATTATGCTCACACCTCCAAAATCCTCTCTACAGCCTTTTATATCTTTAAGCCTATTGTTTAGCTGTATTGCAAATTACCATTACCATTTCCTACCATTGAGATTTCATCAACAAAAATCAATTGACTTCTCAAAATGTTTAGTCTACTTGAATCAAGCTGTTTGTAATGTCTCAGTGATTGATTGGCAGGAATGGCCAGAGTGCTATGAAGAGTGTTACCCTTAAGCTTTACCAGTTGGAGCTAATAGTATAACTTTGATCTGATGAAAATCATCACCTGCTCTAGTGTTATAATACTTAAGCACTGCCTGATACAAATCTTTTGTTAAATGCGATTTGCCAACACCAGCCCCTCCACTGAGGAAGCAGTAGAAAGGGGTTTCTGAGGTTTTAATCTGATGTAAAATGTGATAAAAATTCTTTTTGCTCTTTATCGGGTGTCTGGACCATTTGACGAAAATCGAAATCAGGTAATTCATTCAATATCAGTGGTTCATTATTCAGCGATGTTGATGGAATGTTGAGATCATCAGAGAGGTCATAGTTTTCACTTAAATCAGGATGTAAATCTTCACGAGATCCAATCCTTGAACAGAATTGGTCAATGGAGATCCCTATATTTACTTGTGTGCTTGAGCGAGCAACAACAACAATCCAACTAACTAGAAACTCAGTTTATTAAAATAGATAACACTCTTGACAGTTCAAGGCAAACAATAGTTTCTTTCAGTTTGTGACACTTTGAGACACTCGTGAGACATTTTGAGACACTCGTGAGACACTTTGAGACACCCTGAGACTCTTTGAAGCGCAACCCGCACAAATACATTCAAGCCGACAAATGTTGGCTTGCGAGAGTACAATGACTCCTTTCAATCTGGCACAACCCGCACCGAAGGTCCAAGCCGATAAATGTTGGCTTGTGAAAGCGTAAAAGCTCCTGTGCAACCTGCACTGAACACAAGCCGCGTTTCAGCGTGTTGGCTTACGTGAAAAAATCTTCTGTTATAGACACCTGAAGAAATAACGAAACAAACGCCTCAGATTATGAAAGAAAGAACACAAACCAGGTGTACAAACGTAATCGCCTTTCGTGAGAGCTTAATCGTGAAGCTCCCACAACAAAATTGAAAAGTTAAAGTACGCAAAGAACCCGTGAAAATATGAAATGACTTATCCTTACCTTGGAAACGAAAATCCCCAAGAAACAAATATGAAATTCCGAATAAGTTCTCCAAAACCCAACGACTGAGAAGAGAAATGGCCGCCGTACAATACACTATGAAAAAAGGCTGACTGGAATCCAGTCTTCACGGCTCACTGAACGCAAATAGAAACCACGTGACAAGCACTTCTCTCTCGTGGACAAATAAATAAAGAAAGAAAGAAATAAAGAAATAAATTTCGCGGGCCTTGACTAAGTGTGGGAAATCCCACACAAAAAATTGATCAACCTTCATGGAGGACTACTCGACGTAACTACAAACATATACCTCAAATCGTGTACATATCATCCAGATTCCGAGTGCTGCACCTTCTTTCATGGGAATTTGAGCGATCTGAAGTCCTCTGAAGATACACTGTCATACTTGTATGTCATTTGAAACATGTTAAAGTCGGCTGATCTACGTGAAACCATTCTCACACCGGTCATTTGTCATAAACATTACGTTGTCACGATGGCGTGACGCTGTATTTCTCTATGAAGTTTCCATCGGTCGTCCCAAAGAAGACGAGAAATGGACATTTCGGCATATCAGCAGATTTCTGCGCATTCTACGTAAAAACAACCAAAAAAGAAAGGAAAAACCCTCGATTGAATGCTCGTACACACTAAGAATCTGAAAGCAGAAATTGCAACTTGTCAGCGGCAGTACTACATGTAATAGTCGCCAGTAATAGCAATTTGTACGACTCGCGCGAAAATCATCACAAAGTGGAGATTTTGAACTACTCAGTATCCTTGCAGTACAGCAAATGGAATAGGGATTTCATCACAACCAATCTCCAGAAATTTAGCTTTTTTTCAGGGAGTCTTTCTAGAATGGTTTTCTTCATTGGGAATTCTGGTAGCTGGGATTTTGATTCTGTTGCATTCTTGAAGGAAAATTTTCTCCATTCTGATATTGGAGGAGTGAAAGTGGTGAAGGGAAGGTCCTTGCTCCCTGAATTCAATTTCCTCAGGACCATCAAAGAACTCAATACAGTCTTCATCCTCAATTTCTCTCCACCAAACTCCTTCTCCTGGTACGAGGAAGTCAGCAATAGACTGAAGGTGAGCCTCCCAGTGCCTAGCATGTGTGTTGATGACATCTTTGGGTAAAACTGTGTTTCCCAGCTTTGGTAGGGCTTTGCTGATGTTGCTGATTTCCTTTTCTTGCCTGATGATGCAGGTCACAGCTGTGTTTCCTCCTGAAGTCTTCTCTGCTTGCATATGCAGAACTGCATTGCTCAGTAAGCTTTCAACTCGGTTGTTCCAGGTCTTCCTGGTGATGTCGGTCAGCTCCTCAAACAACCTCTCAAACATTTCTGCATTAGTTGAACGGTGTGAAGCAAGATGGAGAAGAAAGGCGGAATGAGATACACATGCATGGAAGTATATACCAAAGAGCTTTCTGCTTGTTAGGGCTCTAGTTGGGGTCATCACTTTTCGGCACAAAATTGCATGCCTCCAACACAGGTTATGCAACCTTAATATCAACTTTGGTGACCTCTTTCTGTCCTGGGCATAAAAAATTTCCACCATTTCACACAGGGTGGCCAGCAAAGCTCTCACATCATGGGTTGTTGTCTGGTAAAGGGCTATAGTTAAGTAGATTAGTGTCTTGTGATAATCTACTCCTCGTTTTTTCTCTTATTGTTAAGTTGGACAGCTAGTATTTCTTTCAGTTTTATTAGTGTATCAATGTCAGAAATGTGATGTGGAATTTCTTCCAGAATGTTTTTAATGTGATTCATGGAGCAGTGAAGAGCTTCAAAACACAGTACCTCATAGGACTGGAGGTTGAGACTTTCCACAGAAACACTCTCATCCCCAAACAACAGTGCTGGAATTCTTGTTGCCCCTCCAAGTTCTTCATTTAAAATTTCTGCAAGTTCTGGTTTGGTTTTGTCTGAATCTCCAAGTCCTCTTGCTTCAATTTCAGCTTGTAGCTCGTTGACCTTGAGATCTTTAAATGGGTTCAAGAGTTGTTTTGCCTCTTTTCCTTTTCTTCCTGCTAACACCAGCTGTTGCCGTTCAGTCAATGTTCTGTACTTTCTTTGGGCCATGTAATCTAGATCGTGGCACATGCTTAAATGCCCATCACAACCTGGGCAACCATAATGCCCTCCATGCTGATTTCTGCATTCAAAGTTTGTTGCAGGGTTGTCTCCATTCATGAATCTCATCTCATCTTCTACTTCAACATCCTCCTCTGTTTTCACTTTTTGGGTTAAATTTACTAAATCATCATGTCTGGCTGGAACAAATTTTATCTGATCTTCAAATTATGCTGGAACTGCTCTGCCCCAGCATATACAGATAGGGCCTCTCCACTGTTGCCTGGACATCCACATCTTTTCCATATTTAACTCTAGCTTCTGCATCAGAGAGATGAATTGCTGGGTCATACATCTCTCTCACACAAAATGGTCATGCCAAATCAGCCAATGCCTCTTCCGCTGAAAGCTTTTCAGCCTTTGTTTGATTTCATCATGTGTTCCCCTTACATCCTCACTGATCTTTTCTAGCTCTGCACGAATCTCACTTTCACTGAGCTCTTCATAAAATGCATCATTTTTTATTTGAAGGAGGTCTTTGTTTTTAATCAATGCTTCTTTTCTCGTGTCTTGGAAGGGAATTTTCCTTGCTTGCAAGAGGCATTTCTTCTGCTCTATCTCTCCCTGTGCATTTATAGCCAATTTGGTAATCTCTCTTTCTATCACTGGCTCTCCTATGTTAAATTTGCCACTCTCTATTCCCTCATGGATGCTTTGCTTTAGTTGTTTATTTGATTGCATCACAGGCACGGAAATTTCTCCTCCCTTTTGCTTCCTCGTAGCTCTGCGTACCCTGAATCCTGGAAAATTAATCAAACCTTTTGTTACATGAGGCTAAAAACCCATGAAAGTATTATAGGGTCACATATTCATCATTAACTTGACTTAGACTGTTGTATGCATTCTTATTACTACAGGCCTACTTCTTCTAATGTTTTTCTAATTTGTAGTCTAATTAAACTGATGAAAATGATAATTAGCAGTATTGCTAGTACTTCTAAATTCTAAATTTTAACTCTTAAATCTCACTGTTCTTTAATTAATAAATCAAATTTTGTTTAATCCTAATACACAATTTCTTTCACTTATAAATGATATTGCAGAGATGTAACTCTCCACTGTCAGCTTAGTTACAAATTTACCACTTTTTTACCTGTAAGGCCATCCTCTGAATTGAGATGCACTTCTGATGGGGGCTTAAATCGGACAATGTCTACTTTTTTGACTTTAAAAAGGCTTTGACTAATTGCCCTCCATTGCCAGGTGTCGAATCACTTCCCTTGGTTTTGATGTTGTACATTCTGGCTTTTTCTGACCAGTTTGGAGGACCATCAGGCCATAACTTTACATCTGCTAGTAGCTGGTCCAACTTTCCTTCTATGTTAGCAGGTGAAGCTGTGTGGGATCGTTCCCTGATCTTTGGTGGGGTCGTTTTTGCTCTCTCCTTGGCCTCTTCAAAGGTTTCAAAGGACAGGGCCATTCTTTGGACTTGTCTTGAACTGTAAGACTGATGAAGGCTAAGGTGAACAGAACTGTCATTTTGTGACATTTTGGTCTCTAGTTCTTTTTTTGTATACCTTCGCTCATTTCTCTTCATTTTTTTCTTTTCAGCAGGTGAAGGCTTTTTTTGAAGACCAACTTCAAGGACAAGCACTAGAATGTCACTAAGTGATTTTTGAAAGTTTTCCTGGCATTTTTCATTGTAAGTGGCATATATTGCTTCCCCAATGCTTTTTAATTTCCTTTTTGTGACCTTAGGTTCTCTCTGACATTGTCTCTTGACATTTGTGTTAAGTTCAGTCAGAGGTCCTTTCCTAGCCCCTCTGCAAAACTTACTTATAGGGAAGGTAGATTGTAATTAAGAGTTGAATCAAAGACAGGCCTGGCAGCTGGTCAACGAGTGATCTTCTTTCCCTTCTTTACTAATTACTTTGCCTTCATTCCAGTTCATTGAGGAAAATGCTGTTAGGTATGCTTCTTTTTCGGTTTTACTTCTCCAGTTGTGAAATTTTTCATCAATGGTTCTGTAATGCCGCATGAAGTCTTCCCGTTTTATGTGTAGCTCAGGGTATTCTTGAAAATGTTCATTGAAGATTTTAAATCTATCTTGCAGCAATCTAGTGTAGAGTGCGTGACATGTTTTGTTGAGTTCATGAACCACAAAGGGTGTCGGGAAAAAAAACAGAAAAGCATGTGCTCGGAGTTTTCGAATAAATACAACCTTGTGTTTAATTAATCTGGTGATTTGAGTGTGTAACATTGGCGACCCTGCCAGGACTCGACCGAAGAGGCTTATCATCGACGAAGAACTGCCTTGGGTTGTGAAGGACAAAGTAATTGGCACGCTTGGTTGATTCGTCGAGCGCGAGTTGGTTGTGGTCGATTGCTGTCGACGGCGGACTGATCTTGACGTAAAGTGTCGCATTTCTTTTGTGAACGGCTGATTGCACTATTGGTGAGTACGAAAGATTATTTTTGGAAGTATGATGGATACCGAGAGTCTGCAGATCGAAATTCAGGCCGCGTTGTGTTCCTTGAGCGAGGAAAGGCTTAAAGAAGTTTGTAGTGGGCTGAACATTACTGTACCGCCTGAGAGCAAGGGAAGGTTGGTTTTATCCGAGCTCTAAATAAATACCTCGAAACGGAAGAATTAGATAATGAGAAGCTCAAAGTGTTGTCGTCGTCTCTAAGTATGCAGGGAAAATTTGTACCGGAACAGAAAACGGAACCGCCGAAAGCTTCTGAAAATAGTAAAGCGACCGTCAAAATAGAGCAAAATCCCGTGGTGTCAATTTCAAAATTCAAACGCGACTTCAAGATTTCGGGCCAGATTGGCGACGTGTCGCAGAAGGATCGTTTGAGTTTTTCCTCGCTAGTGCATCAAATTGAGAATGGTTTAAAGAACGACTATACAGAGGATGAAATTAAAGAGGCTGTGATAAAAGCGATAAATCCGGCGTTAAGCCTAAGAAGTTATTTGGAGGGTAAGGTAGATTTAACACTGGCCAAACTGAGGAGAATTATGCGTTCTCATTATCAGGAGAGAACAGCAACCGAACTATATCATCAGTTGAGCTCAACTGTACAACAGCCAAAGGAAAAACCTCAAGAATTCTTGATCCGCCTTCTCGATTTGAAACAGAAGATCTTGTTTGCATCTCAAGAAACTGACTCGGACCTGAAATATGATCCTACCTTAGTACATGGCATGTTTGTCCATAGCTTTTCCCTTGGCCTGCAAAGTGAGAATATCAAGATCGAAATGAAGCCTTACTTGGAAAAGAAATTTATAAGTGATGAAGAACTATTCGAGAAATTAAATGTGTGTTTCAGTGACGAACTGGAGCGATCACAGAAATTCGGTTCACAGCTAACCCCAAGGTAAATGCTGTTCAAAAGGGAGGGACAAGCAGGAGACAAAGAATAATGGGGTGGAGGAAGGTCTCATGAAAGAACTAAGGGAGCTCAAGGCAGAAGTGGCCGCAGTCAAAGAGAGAGTTCGGGCCCCACTCCGGGCTCAAACCCCCTCACACAACAGCCTATGAGACAACCCCCACTGTGTAGGACCTGCCAACAAAGTGGGAATGGATGGCCGTGCAACCATTGCTTCAGGTGTGGGGCGAGTGGCCATTATGTACGCGAGTGTAATGCCCAATTCAGCCGACGCTCTCCGGCAGAATCTCAGGAAACGGCCAGAGGTCACGCCCATGGGACAGGGTGTGACCAGGCAAGAAAAATCAGTCCCGTTACGTGCAGTGTGGAAAACAAAGCACAGACCATGTACCACTTAACCGCTGCGGAGCCTGTAAGATCAATAGATATTATTCAAAAGAATGTCAAGTAAAATACAGAACTGTGCATAAACCAGTTTGCATGGCTATACAGGAACTTGAGAAACAGAAAGCAGCCGGAGATGATGGCGATGATTTGAACACGACGTTTCCCTGCCACCTGACGCCAAGGCAGCAGCTCGGACTGACAAAAATCGTGGGACGGAGGTGCGTGGTAAAATGCCTAATTCAAGGAAAGGAAGTGGAGGCATTATGGGATACAGGTTCCCAGGTTTGTGTTGTGTCAAGGAAGTGGCAACAAACTCACTTACCGCTGGAGGTGTTAAGAAATGTTGAAGAGTTGTTGGGAGCAGGAGAAGAGTTGAATTTGGAAGCGATGAATGGGACAAACATTCCATTTGACGGTTGGATTGAGGTCGGGTTTAAGTTGGCTGGAGATGATACAACTGCTCATGAGCTGACAGTTCCAGTACTGGTGGGACAAAAGGAACAAGAGTACCCAATCATTGGCTTCAATGTTATAGAAGAAGTCCTCGCTCAACATGGTGGAAACCACCAAGCGGCAAGTAACATCATTCAGCAGTCATTCCCTTCAATTCATCATACTCGCGTAGGTACCCTGATCAATCTGATCCAGTCAAGAACACAGGATACCGGTACTGCAGCTGTTAAAGTCGGAAAGAGAGATGTTATGCTGCCAAAAGGAGAGGCAACGACAGTTAAGTGTCAAACTCACCTCGGACCAGTTCCAGAGGGATGCCAGTAATATTTGAGCCCAAGGAAGACAGCGAGCTCCCAGACGGACTGGAATTGGGCGAGGAACTTACTAAAATAACCCCGGGAACCTCTAGTCACGTGGCCGTCGTGGTCCAAAACAATACAGACAGAAACATCTTGTTAAAGCGCAGAACAGAATTGGGCCGGATACACCTGGTAAAGTCAGTTCTACCAATTCCAAATACTCCCGACTCGTACTCTCGAGGAGACGAGGATTTTACCCTGAAGCTACCTTGCATCCTGGTCAGGAACAAGATGGATGGGAGCCACCAGTTGACTTGAGTCAGCTAGAAGACAATGAACAATTGATCGTCCACGAAATGCTACGGCAAGAAGCTGGTGCCTTTGCAAGAAACGACGATGAGGTTGGCTGCGTGGAGAACTTGGTGCTTGATCTCCAGTTAAAGGACAATGAGCCAGTACAGAAGAACTATATCTCCATCCCCAAGCCACTCTATGGGGAAGTGAAAGAGTACTTAGAAGACTTGATTAATCGAAATTGGATCTGCAAGTCCCGTTCGGCTTACTCCTCACCCATGGTCTGTGTTCGCAAAAGGATGGAAGTCTGCGACTTTGTATTGATTATCGAGAATTGAACAAGAAAACATATCCAGAACGACAGCCGATTCCCCGTATACAGGATATCTTAAATGGCCTAGGCGGCAACAAATGGTTTACAGTTCTGGACCAAGGGAAGGCCTACCACCAAGGCTTTATGACAGAAGAAAGCCGCCCCTGACTGCATTCGTGACCCCCTGGGATTGTATCAATGGAATAGAATACCGTTTGGGCTAATGAATGCACCGGCGGCATTCCAAAGGTGCATGAATGAATGTCTAGATGGCTTACGTGACAACATCTGTATTCCCTACCTGGATGATGTCTTGGTGTATAGTAAGACCTTTGAGCAACACGTTCAGGATGTCCAACAAGTCCTGCGTCGACTGCAGGAACATGGGATAAAGTTAAAGCCATCAAAGTGCAAGTTCTTCCAACGACAAGTTAGATATTTGGGGCGGGTTGTTTCCGGCGATGGCTACTCTCTAGACCCAGAGGACACGGCTGCCGTACACAACTTGGCGAAACAGAAACCAGCAACAGTGGGTGATGTGCGTAAACTGCTAGGGTTCCTGAGTTACTACAGGCAATACATCCAGGATTTCTCACGCATAGCTAAGCCCCTGTACGATCTAATGGCTGGCCCTGATCGATTGGCTAATAATCATAAGG